GTTTTTGTAGGTCAGACTTTTGGAAAAAAGTTGGTGTGAGGAATCATCAAAAAGAGTTATATTTTGTAAATGAATTTATTATATTAAAATTTTATAAGTTGTTTAATTTAAAAAATTATATTTATATATATTTTGAATTTTTCCTGAATGCTCTATGTTTTTTCTTGATTATACAAAAAAATCAACTTTAATTAACTAATTTTCAAAAAACTATAAAAAATTTTTAATAATAAATTTTTATATCTAATCTTTAAAAATTCAAAATATCAATGAGTTTTAAACCAATTTTAATAATTTTACTAATGTTAGAATTACAAAAACCTACTCTACAACTTTACTTAAAAACTCAAAAAATATTTAATTAGTAAAAATTTTCATAATTAAAATTACAAAAAAAATATACCATCAAGTTTATATATAATTTTAAAATATTACATCCTACCCTTAAATATATCAAAGTTTGCTTATGTATTAAGTTGGAATTTGCAATACTACACTATTTTTGCTATCTAATCAAGTTTGGTCGCAACTATAATGCCTAGATACAATGGGTTATCTTCACAAGATATGCAATGCAACTGGAAATTGACATTTTTCAATAGTCACTTAAAAGCCTCAACATATTTTTTTATCGTCTAGAAAATATTAGATTTGAAATTTTATTCGATTTCAAACAAACTATACCGTTTTTTTTCAAATTCATTAATAAAATTTTATAAATCTAACAAAGGTAAAACAACACGATTCCAGTTTGCATCCCATCGTTCTTTTTGAAACTCGTTCACATGTTTACGCATTGATTTAATTTTTGATGCGTTTGCAGGATAATCAGTAAATAGTTCCTAAACATTCATGTAGTATGTTAGATTTAAAATATGACAAATTTAATAACAAATAGCACTTACAGTTAGTTGCCTTGCCAATTCTTCTTCATTGTTGAATATTAGGCCATTTTTGTTATGTTGCACTAATTCACCAATACTAGGACGAGTCAAATGAGCTTTATCGAACATTTATGAAATCTGGAGCTTGGTGCCGGTTTTACTCTTTATGTTAAAACTGATTAAAATCAATTTTAACATGAAAAATAAAACTGGTCCAGAACTCTAATGAAATATTGGAAAAAATATCACAGAACTCACCAGTCAAAATTAATCGCACAGACAGGTAGCCCACATCCAAACATATCAACTACTTTCATTGGCAGGTCCATTCCCGAAGAGGATTTATGAAGGGAAATTCCTAAGTCAGCACATCCTATTGTAATAATTTGAATCGTGAAAAAATAAATTAAATGGCAATTTTTCTGCTTTATTAGAAGGAAATACATACATACCTAGTATCAAAGGATAGTCTTCCGCAGGTAGCCATGCTGTCACTATTCTCACATTTTTCAATGACAATTTGCTGATTTCCTGTTCGTACATATCCTTTAGGGGTCCTTTACCTGTTATGATAAAAACCAACTTGGGAAACTTTTGGGAAAGCTTATCCGTGGCTTGGTCATATCGCTTTGCCGCTTTTAATAATATTGAAAAGTCCTCATCTGCAGTCCAACTTGTGCTACTAACTATTAATGCAGGACGGTCACTGCGGTATTTTGCGGGAGCAGTTGGTGAAGGTTTGGTAGTCAATAGGGTCGACGTAGCAGATGAGGATGGTAGAAAGTCGAAACCAATTGATTGCTTAGAGATGATTTCTTCCAAATTAAACTTAGTAAGAAACTATGAATAGAGTAACGGAAAAGACGTGAATAATAAATAGAATTAGAATGTCAATTAGAATGTCTATTTTTATAACCTCATGGATCTCTTCTAAATCCAATTGTTTGAAATGTGATTGTGGCCGGTCATACAGGGTGGATATAGCCCCTCTGTGGAAATTTTTTTTTTTTAAAAAAAATTCATTTTATAGTAAATAAACGATTACACCTACGTAGAAGACGCTTACTGAACCTCCCATTTATACATCAATTCACGATGCATGGCAGCAGTAACGGTTAAATGTGCATGTGCACGCGCACCATATAATTTCTCATACCTAATCATTAAAAACTTTGATATAAAAATTGCATTATATCATCGATAATAATAAAAATTTTAAAGTAACCAACCATTTTGCAATTTTGACAATACGACTATTGTGACCTAATCGCATTCCAAGAATGGTGAACCCAAAATTATGCCAATCGATTATCAAATTCGTTTGCCGTGCCCAACAAACAAACTGGGCAATCATTAATGTTGGAATTGAAGGCGGATTCTAAAAAAATAAAGATTATTAGCCAGTCGTTTTAAAATAGATTAATAAAGTATAAAATTTAAATTTATTACCTGTACTAGTATACAATTTGGTCGATTTATCTTTGCGAATAAAATCCAATATAAGAGCAAAAGCTGTGCGTATACTTTGATCGGGGCGTACACCAAAAATAACAATTTTGATAATTTATCCGGTAGCTGCCATGGATGAGACAAGTAATGAATATTAATATTTGGATTGTTTGTTATGGAAATAAGGGGTTCAGAACCTATCAAAAAAATTGTAGTTTAAAAGTTTATAAACGATTTACAGAAATAATAAAGAATGTTGAATTATTCTTACCATCATATCCTACTAAGTCTACTGTCCAGCCATTTTGAGCAAAGCTTAAAGCATGATATTGCATTCTCGGAGATCTCCCAATATCTCCCAGTACAATAATAGTAACATTTTTTGTCAATGCTGAGGCGACATTATTTGCTTGTTTTTGTAAATACAAACTGATCGCCCGAAAGATAACAAGAATGATAACAAGTAGGATTAAGATCCTCGATTCCGTAATTGTAGGTACAAAGTCTGAGTCGACCATTTTTTAATAAGACATTGGAATTAACTAACGCTTTAATAATATATAGAATAGATCATTAGTCTACCCATGATTAAATTCGTAAAACACTGTTTCTACCTAGCGAATAATCACTCATATAAATGCGTATAAAGGAAAATTTTTCATCATATATTTCGGACTGGTGCCAACATATTCAATTAATCATAGTGATGTAACTTTAATATAACATTGAGTGATTCAGAATTAATGATCAGATGTTTGATTTCGAATAAAATTAGTGCCATATTTGTTTCGAAATAAGCAACCTATGAATTCTATTTTTTTACTTATATCAAAAATATTCATATTTTTTCAGATTTTGGAACTCAAAACAGAAATGGGAGTTTTTAACTCTCTTTATTTTCGGAATAAATTAATTCTGAATCACCTATTGATATTATTTCTTTTATATTTACCTGCTAAAAAAAAAAAAAGCAAAAAAAAGATATTTTTCCGTATCAGTATTCAAACTTGGATGCATTTTTATCGTTATATGTGATTGGATAACCTTATCGTCAAATACTGTAGATCAATTGGTTAAACGTAACGTTAATAATCATGAATAATTCTAGTTCTTTTAGTTCTTTTAAAAAAAACAGTCTACAAACGTCGAAATATCCACCAGGAGCACGTTTATCTCCATATAACGGACAATTATTATTGTCAACAGGAGTACCCTCATTGGATGATATCCTAACATTTTAATGTTTCACCTACAGTCAGGATTGGCAATGGAGCTCAGTGGCTATGCGAATGGAGCTCAAAAAACTAGTATCCATTGGCTCTATTCAGAGCTCCATTGGTTTCATTCGCAGCTCTTTTAGGCTCCATTGCCGACCCTGCCTACAGTTATATTATTCGCATTTCAAGTTTATATTATTCTAACTATTGAACGAACAAATAACCCACTTTTTAAACACATATATTAGGTGGTGGTTTACCAATTGGCACGATATTATTAATAAAAGAAGACAAGTACACTGGATATTCTAAATTATTACTTAAATACTTTCTGGCACAAGGAATTGCTTCAGGTCACCATGTGCTGTTCTCCAGCGCTGAAGAAAATTCATCAGATTTTATAAAAGGACTGCCTTGGATTACGAGTGATGACACGAATGATTTGGATGATGGGACAAAGATCGACGATAAAATGAAGATTGCTTGGCGGTATAAAGAAATGAAGAAGTTTGAATCTGGAATTAAAAGTAATAATAAAAAAAATGGCAATAACATGTTCATAATAAATTTACCTTAATAAATATTTTATTTTAATCGATCTTCTTTCTAGCCATACCAACTATTTTCAAAGATAAACAAATCCCTATCACTGGATCTCAACCTCAACGACAGGAACAGCCCTTTTGCCATACTTTCGATTTAACAAAACAAATTCCACAATCATCGATAGATTCGGCGTCAATAACATTAGTAGATGCAATTAAATGGGCTGATGAATTACATGATGAAAGTATATATGATAAGCTTTTATCCGAAATCCGTCATGTTATTGAGCAAAACCATTTTAGGTTTGATTTATATGTAAATTTACATAATCAAATTGAGTTTTGAAATTTGAATAAATAATTAATTATCTCATTTATTACTTAGTTCGTTGGCTGCACCATTGACTGGTGTTGAGAAAAACGCGTTAAGAATTGGGATACATTCGATTGTATCACCTTCATGGCGTTCCAATTCTCCTCATGTATTTATTATTATGTTCGAGTCATTACAATATACAGTATTAAAGTTTAGAGTTCCTATCCATTATCCGTTTATCCATTTATCTATTGGATATCCAGATCTGAATTTATTCGGATATCCGTTTTACTATTGTCATCCGGATAATTTGTCGGTTTATCCAGATATTAATAGTAAATGGATATCTGGATAAAATTCAGATATGGATAAATAGATGACGGATTTATTCGGATTGGAACTCTATATAAAAGTGAAATTTATGATAATTTTTAATATTATTACTTGTTATTATTACTTCAGGATCTTTATCGGTTTTTTCATGCCTTACGTGGCTTATTAAGAATTTCATCTAGTTTATCTGTGATAACAATTCCAGCTCATTTATATTCATCTAATTCTGAACCTTGCTCATTTATAAGACGAATTGAACATATATCTGATGCGGTTGTCGAATTGGAATCATTTGCAGGTTTTTGTTACTTGCGATTATTTCTTTTTTTTCATTTTTAATGTTACTATACGACTAATATTGTATAAAATGATAGGTTCGTCTGCAACAGTAAACAATATATATAGTGCATCATATCATGGTTTATTTCATGTACATAAATTACCAACAATCAACTCCCTTATATCGCCTTCAATTAAATTATCAATACTTTCGGGTGGGGGTGGTAATAATTTAGGATTCAGGTTGAGAAGAAAAAAATTTTCCATCGAAACTTTCCACTTGCCACCTGAAGGTGGTTTAACAGTAAAGAAAGTAATTAAGCCTGGAAGTGATAATGAACAAAAGGATCCTTATGATTTTTGAAGTTATTTATCTTTGTAAAAGTTACGAAGATATTTAAATAAATCAAATTGTAATGTGTATTCAAGCTATTGTAATAAGTTAGGGTTGTTAAAAACCTTATTGAAATTGGGTTTTGGATTGATTTAGCGAGAACTTTTTGACTCAACTCAACCTACTCTTGAGTAAAAGTTTTTCCTTTTTACGTATTTCTTATATGGGGACGCTGGGTGTCCAGTGTACTATGTAGATCAAACATATGTATACATAGTCTTATAGTAAAATAAATAGTAAATTTTCGTGTAACATTCAAATAAAATACTACGGCAACAGTATAATTTCGATAAAACTTAAATCGTTAAAATATGCGTTCGCTATGTTTTCGTGTGAAATTTCTTAATAGTTTAATATATTGAATGTCGAGATTTATGGCAATTTTTTACAAAAAAATTTGCAAACTTCAAATTGTACCTCCTCGATATTTTACATATTAAACTGTTTAGGAATTTTTTCACTTGAAAGCATAATGGATAATATATTTTAATAAAATGAGAAGTTTTTTTCATATAATGAATTATGAATACTCTATTGAAAATCCCTAAAATTTGATTGACTCATATCAGCTCATATTAAGTTTTCTTTAGAAAACCTATTAAATTATACATCACAAACTTGGCTAAACCAACATAATTAGGTAATTATAAGGTTTTTAAAGGATTAACTTATAATAAAAATAATCTTAATAAATATTAAAAAAATTTTCAAAAAAGCAATAATTATTAATTTAATATATAGATTAAGATATAAAAAATATGTATTAAGAAAATTATGATTCTAGTGTTGTTATTTTTCAAGCAGTAGGTTCAAAGTTCAAATCTTATTGATAGCAGAATTTTAAAAAATGGTCCTAATCTGGCAACTTAAAAGAAATATCTGAGGTTGTAATTCTGTAATTTCAATTATATCAATACTAATTTTGGAAGTGTGCAATGTTATACAAATAAATCTAGAAAATATAAACTGTAATTAGAAGTTGAATACTGGCAACTTAGAAGAAGACCTGGGGTGATAACTTTGTAATTCCAGTTGCATCAAGATTAATTTAGAAAATATGTAATATTATATGAATAAACCTAGAAAATATAAACTATAATAAGAAATTTTGCTTAGAAATTCTAAGTAAAGTGAAAGTATAATTTTTGACAATATTACTATGAAAATTTTAATTCAGAAAAGAAAAATTAAAGCAAATGATCTGTATAGACAAGAACCTTTAGACAAAAAAGGTTATCAATTTGGTTATCAATTAATCTAAATATAAAGTCTTATTATATAAAGCTAATTAGATTGGTAATATAAAAGAACTTGCAAAAATATACAAAGTACTAATAAGGTTATAAAAAAAGATATAAATTTTACAAAAATATAGTAATTTAATTAGTTTTGATTACAAGTGTTGGTCTTAACTATAGCAAGATATTAGATTAGCTAAAAATTAAAATAATAGAAGATTCTAGTAAGTTTAATATAAAATTAAAGATTTTTATATAAGTAAACCACCTTAAAAACCTAGTAATCATGATATATTTGTATTAGTAAAAATTGAAATAGTAGGTAGATAGATGAATATAGAACCTAGAGTGTTTAAATAAAAGACTTACAGGCAGGTTCTAGATATATTAACTAGTATAGAACCTTTGAGCAAACTACTTAAATTAGATAATAACTAAAGTTGTATAAATGACTAGTTGTATACTTTTTTTATAATTGCCTTCTGTGATTATTATAATACAATTACAAATCTGAAACATACTATCAATAAAAGCCTAGGTTACAAGTATTCATCTTAATATTAAAAATATATATATATATATATCAAAAATAAACTTTATTATATTAGTTATAAAATATTTTATTATAAGATTAAAAACAATAAACAATATTAATAATCATATTACTAATTTAGGAAGTTATTTTTATTTTTAAGAATAGTCAAACAAATTATCTAAAATGACAATAAAACTATCTTAATTAAAGATTAAATATAGTAATATAGTTTAGTAAAATAATAGAGATTAGGATGTAATGTCACGTTGATTGTTATTAAAATTATTAGGGTCAAATAGTTTGATGTCAATAAAATTAGTATTTCAGATTTACATGTTTTTAATGTGTATTTGTACTTTTGTATCTTTATTTTTTTATTATTTCTATTTTTTTTCAATCCATGTATGTATTTAATAAAGCTCTTGATTTATAGGATCTGGTTTGTGCTAGGCTTATGGTCTTAGATTCTTAATTGTGAGATATCATAGTAATGTTTTTATTGAGGCCAATTTAGTCTTATATAAAATATTTTGTTACAATTTAGCTTCATATAAAAAATCTTAACGTTAACGTTAAACGACTTTTGGTTATCGATTAACCAATCATATTTTGCAAATGTCACGAAATAATCTGCAAAAACCAGCCAATCACAATAAAAGCTCGCTATACTACTGTTGGCACTTCTTCGAAGATAGCGATGAGCTTAATTTTTATTTTTTATTTGTAAAGTTATATTTTTTAAAAAGAACTGTATAAATACAATTGTAAGTGATTGACCAATCAGAAGAAAGTTATCCTATATGCTAAATGCCGGCCTAAGTCCGATGGATCCGACCCGGAAATTTAATGTAAAAAATGTAGCAATTGCCATTTCTGCTTTGCAGGCAAGTTTTCTCAACATATCAATCTAGAAGTACATGGTATCATGAGAAGACTAAATCGGTTTGTTCGATAATCTTCGAAAAAATGGTATTCTTTTTAGCACACGGCCTCTCTATCCTTTTATTTCTCCGCTCACTTTTTGGGGTCCTTTGAAATCACGATCTTATACTACCTCAAAATGTCCGACGTGTATAATCTTTGGACTTTTGATGTACGTATTTGTGAAGATGATTGGTGTCTATGTTAATTAACCAATCAAATTACATGATTTTTTAAAAAGATACTAACGCTAAAGACTTGAAATTTCTAAAATTTCAAGTGATCGATTTCACGTTAGGGCGTGGACTAAATCAAACTTAGGGTAATATGAAGATCATTAATGGCTAAATTTGACATTATCATTAACGTTTAAATTAATTCTTTCGACAATTTGTACTAGATGATTATAAAAATAATTATCAACCTAAATTTACATTTTTTAGCGCATAAGCATCTAACAAAAGTGCATATAATTTTTTTTTTTTTTAACTTGAAGCTCTCAACTAGCTCTACATGGTAATAGAGCTACTTTTTTCAATCGTTTATCAAATATTATATAAGTATTAAAGATTAATTATAATTCAAAAAATAGCTCTATTACCATGTAGAGCTAGTTGAGAGCTTCAAATTAAAAAAAATTATATATATGCACTTTTGTTAGATACTTGTGTTAATTTAATTTAATATTTAAATATACAGCCTATAAAAAATCCGAAATTAGAATCTTATATTACCGTTTGATTTAATTAGTTTAGGCCGCACCGTAATGTCACGTGCGGACAACGGAATGATAGTTTTCTGCTTCGTTCTGAACAATTAGGAAACTAAAAAACTTCATATAAAGAAGCTAAGAAATTAATAATAAAATAGCAAATTAATACCTGCATCGGATTAAAATAATTATGATCCTGTTAATACCTCTTACCTTTATCCAAACTAACATAGCTTAACCCTAATGAAACTTTATTTAAATTTGCAAATCTTAATTTGACAAACATATACGTAAAAAATGGGAGTACTTTTTTTCTTAGTTTCAAGTATAATATACTTAATTGAGAACTTTATGAGGATTCTATTTTATTACAATTCTTTTTTTTTTAATTCAAAGAATTCTACAATGTCCTACTAAAGTCTTTGTGATTTTTAACGATTAAAACCACTTGTTTTAATATATTTGATGTTAATAAATAAAATCAAAAGCTGCAAATGCATTCTAATTAATATTCTACGTAATATTCTACGTAATGCTTATTTAGTGCCTTATATGCGACCTTTAATGAATACATTTCGATTTATTTTACAATCAATACAAGATTTTTGATATGCTTATATAGGAATAAACTCTTCATTAATAGTACATTTAAATTTGTAGGTCTGGATTTCCTGTAATATGCGCGTTCGCTAAAAATATTACGTATAATAAGGATTGTTGCGACCGTACGTATTATAATTATGATAATGCATAAAGCATACGTAATAAATAATAAATTTTACTTAAAAATGGTAATTTATAATAATCATTAAGGCGTGCAAAGTTAGAAACGGTGCAAAAAATGCTCTCATGAGATTGGTTGTAGTGCATAAATATGCAATGGCGACAGACTGAAAATGCAAAGTTACATTTTTGATATTTTTATTACAGATAAATCAAAAACGAAACCTTGATATCACTTTGCAAAGAATAATGTGTCTAAATATAATGTATATGCCGTAAGTGATATCGGAATTTAAGTTGATTCGAAATTTTTAAGAATTTTTTTTCAGTATAGTTATTCTCTTTGTTATTATGTATGATATAAATTAAAAAAATAATTTGTATTGAATCTTAAAAATAATATCACTTTATGACTTAGTAGGGCGTATAACGACGTCTTTTTTTATTTATTATATATATATAAAAAAAATAAAACATAAAATACGACCGTGGCCCAACGAGGGTTTCCGGATTATAGTTTATTATTGGCAGATTTATTTTTTTTTTTAAAGATAATAACTGACTAAGCAGGCTTAGCCATATCAAATTTATTGACTAGGCTAAGCTTATAAGTTTTTAAATTGGCTACAATCACTAATGACCACGCTCACTGGAGGATCTTTCAGAACTGCGGCTAGTTGTAAAGAATAAATCAGAATAAAATAAGAAATAAAAAATATAAATTATTGATAACCCCACTATTTTTAAAAATAAAATTTGCTTACGAAAGTCTTCGATCATCACCGCTATGTCGTCTTTCGCGACTTCTTTCGTCGTCAGAATATTTTTTATAATATCGATCATCACGATCTCGACTGTCACGATCTCTATCCCTTCTCGGTGTTAACGATCGTCTTGGAGAACGAGAGCGAGACCTATTATATACAAAGCATTCCTGAAGTTAAACAATTTTCTGTCCAAAAAGTAACAACTATTGCTATTTGGTTTCGAACAATAACTTAAGCTTGTTGAAAACTTCGATGAGGAGGTGAAATAATACATATAAGAATATGAAATATGGAAATAGAACGGCGGAATAGAAAGGTGACGGTGAATCTTTGATACGGTTATCATCACGTTCGACATTGAATGTTCGCGGATTTCAGAAACGGAAAACGGTTATAACGGTTCCCATATCAATTTTAATGGTTTGCTTTGGTCGGATGAGTATAATATCGTTGCTATGGATTGGAGGTCTTTGAATAGACATATTTGTTCCTCCTTGATTACTCAATTCCGACGTAAATAGGGTAGGTTCTTCAAAGTCAAGTAATTCTTGTAGATTATAATACGGACACACGGCTTTGCGGATATTTTAGTAAATTTAAGGTTTTCGATTAAAGAGACAAAAAACCGCATTTGATTTACAGTCATCCTTCTCCATAATCTCATTTTGTAGCACACAAAAAAGATATGGTTATAAAATTTTAATAGTAATGGGATTATATAAAGGTTTTTTTTTAATAAGTATATTTGCTAATTACTTTTCAAAAAAAAAAAAAAAAAGGTACTTATAAAAAGGATGTGATAATACAGAAGGTGACTATATAGAGGGATGACTGTAACCAAATGACAGTAATGGCCTCCGGATTTTGCCAACGGTTCTTGCTAACATAACAAATTAAAGGTCTCTCAAACCCAACAATCGTCTTTCTTGGAAGCAATAAAACAAGAAAATTTCAATTATGAAAAATTTTGAAGAACACAAACCTTCTTCTTGGACTCCGGCTCCTACGCCTATCCCTTCGAGATGAACGACAGTCCTTTGCCCAATGGCCTAGATTTTCAATAATTTATTCTAAGAAATATGTTGAGAAAAAATTTATTTTTCTAAAGATCTATTTTTCTTGCCTTCTCTTCCGCATTTAAAACATTGGTTTTCGGCTGATTTTTCAAAATTGAGTAATATATAATTAAAATCACTAGCATATAAATATCCTCGAATTGTTACAAAAAAACAAGATTGAAAAAATAATTATACCCGGCTTCTTTCCACCATTTTTTGCCCACTCTACAACAATTCTATTTCCGCGCACTCGCTAGATAATCATCCGGAATAAATGTAAATGAACACGAAACAAGTGAAAGACTCTATCTTCCTTTTTAACAGTTTGCTGACGAATCTTTCTTTCACGTCGCAATACACACCAGGCCGTCTGTCTCCTTCATAGCATCAGAGGCATCCCTTTCATCCTGATATTCGACAAAGGCGTAACCTCTCTTAACTTCCAATCGATTTAGTCGTCCATATTTATCAAAGATGTGTTCAAGATCTCGCGGGTGGGTATCTAAAGATAGCCTGAAGTATAAAGTAGCAATTAATACAAGTTAGTAAGCTAACTAAAAGTAAGATCCAACCATACCTTCCAATAAAGAGAGCCATTTTTTTGAAGTGATGAACAACTGATTAATCTAAAATAGAGAAAAGCAGGTTGAAAGTTATTGCGTCTCTATGTTTTAACCTTGAATAATAATGATACTAGGGTTCACAAATTTGGGGTGTTACCCCAGTATCGCCAATGCACGTATCTGATTCTGGCGATCGTAATTTCATTACTAACGCTAAGCCGATAAATTTATCGGCTTAGCCGGCTTAGTCGATTGTAAGTTGTGTCCGAAGTTACATGCCTCTTTTACAGCTATTCTCATAACGATAAACTTTGGAACAGATTAAAACTTTGCTCGTTACCGAAATCTTTTCGAAGATAATGATGTTAGGTAATTTACAAGACTAAATCAAAAAGTTTCGAGTAATGAACAAAATTTTAATTTATCCCAAAATTTACCATTATCGTTATGAGAACAGCTGTAATTTATCAAATTTATGATTTTAAAGAAGGCCGGCCTTAATTTCAGTAAGCATTAGATTCATTAGCTTTGTTTCTCACAATCGGATCGGGTTTTATCAAAGATTCGGACCAGACCTGAAAAACTTGATCAAGTCTAGAACCAACCTGGAATCTCTAAAAATTGCCAATAGCGAGAAATGAAAACCAACGTTAAATATCGGTTTTGTATACTAATTTAGAACATTATAAAATTTGTTACGTATCCACGCTATATTTAAATAATCAGTTTACTGAGTTAATATATTAAAGAAATCTGGGCCAGGTTTTGTCAATCATTCGGCCTAACACCATATACAGTCAAACCTCCCTAAGTGCACGCTCTGAGGACCAAATATAAACGTGCATTTAGAGAGGATGTGCATTTAGGAATTATATTTAAAAAGAAGCCAGCGAAAGTCATGTGATAATTAGTCAATAAAATTATAACGATAAACGTTCTTCATTTAGACGTATTACTGCGCTTTATATCGATATTCCATTATCCTGGCAGATTCTCGATTTTGATTGGCTAAGGGTGACGATCAAAAAATTTTTAGGGTAGGATTAACAACATTTTTTATAGCAAAATTTTACAAGAAAAACTTTTAATTAATGCGCAGAAGGCAGTTTCATAGACTAAATTTTGGGCTATACGCGATTTTTGACAAAACGAACGTTTTAGAGTGCGGCCTATTTCTTTATAAAAGTTAATTCCGGCCAGAAATTAGTATATAAACAATTATTTAATGCGGGCCATGAGCCAAGCAAATCTTGATTTTCTGATTGTTATTAGGAAAGCTCTGATTGGCTGTAATTAATCGTTTTATCAGACTATCAGTGGAAAGGAGCACACAAAACTTTGAAATATGAAACATCGGTTAGTATTTAAAGCATAACGATATTCTTACTACACACATTAAATGATTCAATTATTGCAGGCCGATGGAAATTTCGTCGAAAAAGCCTGTAGGGCGTTTTCGGCAAATCGTGGAGATTCCGTCTAATGTATGTAATGTTAATTGAAAAAATTCATTATCATTATGGTCATTTTATTTATTTATTTTTTAAACAGATAAGGAAGAGACGAGATCCAAGATTCGACGATCTTTCAGGACAATTTAACGATGATCTATTTGAAAAGTCGTATAGCTTTTTAAATGAATATAAAAAATCTGAAATGGAAGAAATTAAAAAAAGAATCAGTAAAGAAAAAGACCCAGAGGAAAAACAGAAATTACAACAGCTTTTAAATAAATTGGTATTTGAAGTCATCTAATTGAATTCAATTGAATTCGTTTCATCATTATAATATATTTGTTTTAACCATTAAATGCAAAATAAATTTATTTGTTTATATACATAATTTGTAAGCAATCTAGAGCTGCCCATGAGAGTAATTTAAATCGAAAAAAGCAATTGAAACGGGAACAAAAAAAGAAAGAGCGTGAACTTATTGCCCAAGGAAAATCTCCATTCTACCTCAAGAAATGTAAAGTCATTTTGGAGCGATTAAATTCGTTTATCATTATCAGTCACTTTCATTAATTAACTCCATTAATGTAATATATCATGTTCATTCAATATAGCTGAAGAAAAGAAATTGGAACTTGTTGACAAATTTAAAAAATTACAAAAATCAGATTCCAAAGTGCTTGACAAAGTTATTGAAAAGCGAAGGAAAAAGAACGCATCAAAAGAGCACAGATATGTTCCGTTTAAACGACGTGAAGTAGAGTGATTAGCATTAAGTAAAAGTGCGATAATGACTTAAATAGGCAGGTGACACGAACGATTGTGCTAAATGAAGCAAATGTTTAATTTTGAAAAATGGTATTGTTATATCGAATTTATTGTATGCCTGAAATGGCCAACAATTTGACCAATTTGACATATTTAAAGTGTTAAACTGCAAGATATTGGTACGCTTTGTTTCCGTAAATCTTTATTATATAGAGTTAGTGGTAATACATTAAAATTTTCCATTTAATACTGGAAAGATAGAGGTTTATTAGCGTTAGGTTTATTATCCAGTTTTTATGTTAATTTACCCGGCACTAGGTTAATTCGGGCCGGATTTATAATCGCTGTAATAAAGATGTTTCATATGACAATTTTTTTTCGACTTCCATCTTTGTTATAATGTGGTGTGACTTTCTATCACGGGAAAATCTACATAAGTAACATTTTCGAACATTCTTTCTATCAATTAAAGTAAACTTGACCATAAAACTCTTCTAATTTGCAACCGTTATGGGCTTACTAAGCTTGGAAGAACAACTTACGTTTTACGGACAATATCATAACAACAAGGTTAACATTGTTATTCATATCGGTACAGGGCTTTTACTGTTTGACCTAGCTATATTCTTTAACGGTTCTTTTGTTAAATAAGTTTACGACTTATCTTGTGTTCACTTTCGTCCGTTTGTAGTATGTGTTCCTCTCATCTTATGGAGCGTTTTGGTCTGGGCGGCAGACTCGGGTCCACTACTATCCTATGATTCAAATTCTTTGTGGCGTTTGACCCCCTTCATTCCAAACGCGGCACTATTTATCGTGCTTTTTTATATTTGCTATTATATCTTGCTAGAGCCCGTTGCAGGGGTAAAATTATATGAATTTAGTCATTTATTCCAGTTGTTGGTTTATTTCAATTTAGATATCATTCATCAGACATTGCCATGCAACCTGATTCATTTTATAGGCTCTTTATACACCACTGTTATTATACATGGTATATAATGCTACAAATTTTGCTGCCTCCTACCCCAATCATGTTTCTCTTGCCACAATTGTTCATGTTTCTTCATGGATTATACAATTTATTGGTCATGGATTTTTTGAGAAAAGAAGTCCCGCATTAAAAGATAATTTGGTTCAAGGTTTGCTCTTACTGTTTATCGCTTTCATTATCTAAATATATAGCAAAAATTGTAACTAATTATATATTCAATCTATTATGAACTGATACATTATCTGGTAGCTCTCCTCCTTGCACCTTTATTTGTTTGGCTAGAAGTTCTTTTTCATTTAAGATATCGATCATCATTGCGGCAAAGAGTGATGAATAAAGTTGGTGTTGCAATTGCTAAATACAAAAAAGGGCAACGTCAGACAGCTGAATAATTGAAGCTACAATATTCTTTATTATACTTCATTATAGGCTGGTTTTACAATACATTAATTTTTTTGAACATTGAAATTTCGTAATTATCGATTTTTCCTTTTTTTTAAATCTGATGTTCTGAAAATATTGATATCGAAGATTCTGAATTCATCTTATTATATTGAATTAGAATCTTCATACTGCATTTACGTTTCAATATACCAATCCGTAAAGAACAATTTATTATTGTTTATCAGATTAGAAAATTAAAAATAAATCTTAATAACGATAAGTAAAATCTAATAAATTTTAATAATTTAACCATATGACTTTTTTCATAAAGCATTTACACTTGTGTATATGATTATCTAAAAATTTTTTAATAATGTATTATATATTTTTTTTTATAAATTAGGCCACTCCAAATTGATTTTTCGTTTAACATATCATTAAATAATTCATAAGAGTTAGGAGGGTATAAAAAATACAGCAATTCTATTGGCTGTAAAAATATGAAATATATAAAAAGCCAATACTGAAATTTGATTGGTTAATGTAATGAGTATTTTTTCATGAATTTTTGAAGGGGATGATGTTAAGCGAAGAATTAATTGGTCTGGCCTTAGTTTGTTCTAAACATTAATATTGTAAATCTTAAGGCGTGTTGATATTATAAATTTTTGTTAATTTATATAAACCTAACGAATTGGATTTTTATAATGCTATAACTTTTAACTTTTTATACTGTCTTTTATATAGTTATCTTTATAATCACATTATATTAAAACCCTTTTTATGATCATGCCAAAGCTTGCAACACTTTACTAATAAACTTATAAAACAATACTTCCTTATAAGCATATTATAATAAAAACCTTTATACAATCGCATAATTTTTTGGCCCAACATCTTGCAAATATTTTTATAAGTTTTATGAGTGATCTGCCTGCACTGATTGTTTAACTTTATAAAAAATTAGAGTACATCAGGGGTTACATCTGATTACTGCTTTACAATAGGATGTTATCAATCTGATAACATCTTCTCATAGAGAAGTAAACAAAAACAAAAAAAACTTATATATAAAAAAACACAGAAGTATAGGAAAAGATGATAAAAGATACAATACAAAAAATAAAAGAAAGAAGTAGAAAAGTAGAAAAAGAAAAAGTATATGTAATTCTTGTCATATGATTATTAGATGATTACAATTATAAGTCTGTATTAGGTTTTTAAAAATTATAAACTATACTAAATAGAATTAACTCTACTATTTTTCTATTTATTTAGAATATTTAACAAAAATCATATAGAATAAAACTTCAACTTAAACATAAAGTCAGTATGGGTCACTGGTTAACTTAAAAGCAATATTTTATAAGGTTTTAGTAGTTCAAGACATATATATGAGTTATGTTTGTATTATTGTATTATTTAAACAATTCTGATTAGAAAATAAAGACTGCTGACTGTTTTGATGTTTTATATATTAATCTTTTAAAGAAGATAAATTAAATTATTTACTTTTTATAAAATTTTTTTTAAAAAATATAGAAGATATAAGGTAAACCAAACTATAACTTTTATGAATACTTAACTTTTCTGAAAGTTTCTTATAGTATTATAAGTAAAAACTTTCTTAATTTCACATTATAATAATAATATGGTATAGAGAATTCCTTACAGGTATATGTGGTATCCAAGAAGAAAATTTAGGTTCTGTTAAATATTGTCAAGAAACTATATTTTTTTTTGAAACAGTTTGGAAAAAATAATACAATACTAATAACTTTACTTTATTTTACTAAGAGAAGATAAACCTTGCTTATAAGAATTACCTAAAAGAGGAGTATTAATACAGTTTATAATTAAAAGCCTTTTATTAAAGTAATAACAAAAAGGATTATTCTTAGGTTTCTGTTCCTAAAGAATTCCAAAATATGTTTACAATATTAAAGAAAAGAGAGGTGTCTGTTATTTAATCACACTTGAAAAAATTTAGTAGAGTTTATATAGTTGTGAACTAAGTGGCCAAATGACTAAATAATTAAGCAACTAAGTGACTAAACATTAAGCAACTAAGTGACTAAATAACTAAGTAATTTCTTGATTACTAAGTGATTGGAAAGTTCTAGTAACTAATGACTAATAATTACTAAGCAAATAATTACTAAGCAACTAAATAACTAAGTAACTAATTAACTAAGTAACTAAGTGATTACTAATTGACCAAAAAGTTCTAGCAACTTTTAATAATAATATAATATAATAATAAAATAACTAATATTAAATAACTATAATAATATAACAATAAAATAATAATAATAATAAAATAATAATAATTTGTTCTATAATAATAAGTTTTATAGTTATATAGAAATAATATATCTAATATTATTCTTTATTTTATAAAAGACTTTTAGTTTTTACTAACCACTTTTTCTATAGTTTCAAAGCTCTTTTAAACTATTATCTTAAAGTAATAGCTTCTTTTTCGATTCTGCTTATTATGCATATCCAGTACTTCAAAAAAGTTTTTATAAAGTTTAATATATTAACTATATTGTGTTACAAAGTAGATTTTTAGCATAGCATAGTATATTATATTATTAGTAGTTATTATATATTTATTATTGTATTTTATATTATATTTTATTAGTTATTAGCATAGTTATATTATAGTATATAGTAGTTAGAAAATAGAATCTTAATTGGTTGTTAGAAGTGTGATACAGACATATGACATTGGGTAACATCTATGATGTCATTATTGTCTTACAAAACCCCAAGTACCCCTACACAAGTTTCATGTATCCTAGTACAATTTATTGTGCCAAATAACACAGTACAACAATCCTCAAGTATCCTTCTCACAATTCCCAAGTATCTCAACACAATCTCCAAGTATCTCAACATAATCCCCAAGTATCCCAATACAATTCCCAGGTGTCCCTATACAATCCCAAATGTCCCTGCACAAACCCAAGTACCTTGACACATGCCTCAAGTGTTTTCAAGTACAAATGATAAATATACATAAACATTGTCCCAACTATCCCTATACAAATTCCACTTGCCTTTGTACAATCCTCACTATCTCAAGTACAGTATCAAGAGATGTCACTTAAACCCCCACTATCCTTACTAGGTAAAAAGATATATAAAGGATACATTTTCCTCTTCCTTGCTAATTCTAAGTTCCTATACTTCAACCCAAACATAATGACCTTTTAATAATAAAATGTGATATTACCCCTCTAGGATAATTCCTACAGGCAAGATTGTCACTGTGTGTTTATTTTTTTTTTTTTTTTTTTATTTTTTAAAAAAAAGTGAGGTTTTGCCTCGATTTCTTTATTGATTATTAATATCTAAATACATTTTTATCTGTAGTACATATTATTTAATCTCT